AGAGAGAGAGAGAGAGAGAGAGAGAGAGATCATGCCCACGGACACACTGTTTGAGTATGCTTTTGTGACTTAGTTGTGCATTGTTGTACCCGTATCGTTGAGCTTGAACGTAATGAGTGCATTTCCGTATTGATGCTGAATTTTTGTAAGTTGGTGGTCTGGTATATCCACCTAAAATTTCCCTTAACAGATCAATTATCTTATCTTATCTTGTCTTGTCCTGTCTTGTATTGTATTGTCTTGTCTTACCTTGTCTTGTCTTGTCTTATCTCATCTCATCCCATCCCATCTCATCTCATCTTATCTTGTCTCATCTCATCTCATCTCATCTCATTTCGTCTCGTCTCGTCTCATCTCATCTTACCTGTCTTCTACGACATGACGAACAGTAAGTTCAAGTTCAAGGTCTATTGTACTGCAACAGCTACAGCAACAAAAGCAACTGTCACATAAACAAAAGGGTAACTGTTCCTGATCTACAACAGGGAACTGCTGCTTTTTCTTTCCCAATCCTTACTATAGTCATTTTTCCTCTACTTCTTTTGTATGTTTGTCACTCTCTTGTGACCTGCTCTTTTTGGGGTGCTTTGACCTTGATAGTCGAAGCAGACCTGTTGAAGCTAAAGAGGTGAGCAGAATAAGTCTGATTCCCTATAAAGACTTCTCTGTTGACACCCACCCCTTGGCGCTCATATAACCTTATGCAGTTGTGAGCGCCGTAAAGCCCTCTACTATAAAAAACCCCCCAAAAACCAAAAACAATAGGAGCAGCAACAAACAACTTACCATTAGCAATGAAAATGAAAAACTCCACCATAGCCGTAACAGTTACAACAATAACAGTAATGAATTGTTTTAAAATTAAATTATTTTTTTTCTAAATTAATGTTCTGCATGCACAAATTTAATCAGCAAATGTCAGACATACTTAATTAAGCTGGAAAGCTACTACGAATAAACACTATGTTCTCTGCAGGGAGCAATTGATGAGGCTGAAAAACTTAAATTTACTTAAATTTTTTTTCTTTTTTTTTTTTTAGCGTATGTGTCTTTGCGCCCCCATCAACAAAATTTAGATAATTTAGGAGGTGGGCTTCCATCCCTGCCTGTCAGGGCCAACCTGGACTGAGAGGGGTACTGCATCCCAGCAGAAAGACTAAGATGCTTTATAATAAAAATTCTCCCCACTCTGGAATTGAACACGGGTCTCCTGTGTGTGACAGCGAAGTGCCTAACCACTACACCATAGATGCGGGTTTCCATAAATAAATAGAATAAATAAAAAAAAAATTACATTTTTATTTGTCCCAGAAGGGCACTTTGGTTTACAATGGCAAGCATACATGAATACACAATTATGAATACGTACATACGTGCATAAATACATACGTAAATACACAATATTACACAAATACAGAACAGTTCACAACCATGCCACTGTGCAGCACCCTGACCTAACCATGAAGAAAAATGCCGTAGAATTGTAAGGGTGGGCCGTCAACCCTGTTAGCATGGTACTGGCTAATGATGTGGAGAATCCTGTAAGGGGGCACTTTTTAACTTGTCTAGGCCTTTGACTTTGACTGACTTTGGCTCGGGAAAATGATCTTACAAAGTTGAAAAGGTTGTTAAAATATCTTTTGTAAGACAATAGAAATCAAATGATTTACTTATAGAGCTGTATTCTCTGTTTTATGTTTTGGTTTTGGGTCTTAATGCTAACTTATTGGTTCTATTTATGCCAGTAAATTTTTTAATTTTTTTTTCCTGTATTGTGCCAGATTCCTTCAAGCCACAGCATGTGCACATATCTTTCGGTGATTCGATTCAAGAAATCAACATAGTCTGGGCGACTCAACAAGTCTGCAAGCCTAAGGTACTGTGTTGAGAATTTATGTCGGAGAGTCGGGAATATTCCTTTAAAATGTCTTCGAAGCTGAGAAAGCTTTTTGATAGTGTGCACTTTTTTAAAATGAAAGTTGGTTCGAAAATATTGATTTTCAGAAAGTGTGCTGAATCAGATAAACTACCTCTTTTAAGATAAGACCCAAATTTGATTTTAGTAAAACAGACTTTACTATACCTGGAACTCTTTCTGTCAATTTGATCTCCCTTTGAGTTTCTAATTAGTTCAGTAGTTGTTACTGAGTCTAGTAAAAGACTCCGACTTTAGAGTGCAGCAAAAAAATAAATGTTGAGCCTTCCAAACTCATAAAGATTGGTCTCGTAGAGTTGTGTCCTTGGACCAGTTTCCTATTAAATAGTATATTTGTTTGTTTCTTAATTGAGAAAGTCTGACATCTTACAAATTCTCCATTTGTATTGTATGATATATGGAGGAAAAGAGGTACTCCATCAATACTTAACGTTTGAAAATGACTCATTAATGTATTTGTTACATTTATATGCTGCCGAATCCTCTAATGGCAACCTGTATAAGACAATCACCTATTCTAATAGCCACTTCCCTTTTCCTTCCTTGAGTATTTTTTACATTATCATAGAACACTGTGTAAAATGTCCATCTTTCTAAGACAATTACTTCTCTCCTTGACAACGGATGGCCCTCTTAGACAATTTCGACTGTATATATATATATGTGAGGGGTCGTTGTGAAATCAGGCACTTGTCAAAATAATTAAATGAAAGATATCAGCATTTTTCTGTCGGTTTGGCAATTTTTATTCAAATCTTTTATGTCCACAATAAAATTTTATGTTCACAATAAAAAGACATTTTTGTGTAGATTTTCCTGAAAAAGGTTGATTAAAGGCACTTAAAATGTAAATTTTCTGTTTCCAAGGAGTCTCAAGCTATAGAAATCACCCGACTTCCGCAGCCATTTTCTCTAAAACTTAACCTCTGAAACCAGGTGACCCCACCTCGCTCAATTGCAAATATCTCGACTTCTATTCAAGATAGATGAATATTTTTTATCATCAAATGACAGAAAATTAAACAAGGTTTAAGATGGTACCAATAACTTTACCTGGCCAAAACTTGACAAGCGCCTGATTCCTCCGCGCCGTGACATATATGTATACTTATACGTGTATAAATACATTTATATATATATTTATATTTATATTTATTGTCTTCCAGGTGCAGTATGGTTCTCACCCCTGGGGCCTGGAGCTGACTGTTGTTGGCAAAAGCATTCAGTTTGTCGAGTACAATGAGCAGGGCCTTCAGAATGTGCACCGAGTTAGGCTAAAGGTATGTTCACAATTTTTGGTGGTTATTGGCCTTTTTCCCAAATCAGCGATAAATATGCTGATTTTGGTTTGAATGTCTTGACTTTGGGAAGACATGGAATAACATCAGGAGACTAGCCCAGGATAGAGAAAAATGGAAAGTGTTTGTCCGTGGTCCTGGTGCAGGGTGAGAAAGGCAGTGATGATGATGGTGTTTTGACTTTGGCAGGAGCAAATATGTTTTATTCATTAAAAGACCTCGCTTTAAAGGCCTTTGTTTTCTTTCTTAAAAAGATTTTTTTTTAGTTGGCGCAAATACAGTCGAACCTGTGTAAGACGGCCACCCATTGTCAAGGAGAAAAGTGGCCGTATAAGACAGGTGGCCGTCTTAGGCAGGACTGATCAAGATGAAGAAAACAAACCATTTCTATCTGAGAAAACAAACCCTTCCTTTCTGAGGTCCCAACCGAAGGTAGATCTAGTTGCATTGTTGTTGTTGTTATTTATTTGTGTTGTTGTTTTCGCTGGGTTTTTTTTTTTTCTTTTGTTGCTGCTTTTGTGCACGGGTGACAATAAAACGAAATGTGTCAGACAAGGAGGATCGAGTGCTATGGTAAAACAAACACACGTGTCGCTACCACTCGGAGAACAAGCGACGCTTCTGTCACAAGTTCATGCTGACGTCCATTGTTACTTTGTTACAGACTGGGTAAACAGTGACCACTCATCTCACTACGATTTGTGTATGGGTTCTGGGCAGGGCTTATGGGTTATGAGGGATCACACGCTTCCCTCCTCTCAGCAGCTGAAAATTAATTTTGTTACCTATTGGTCAACAGTGGGAGGGGCCTACGCAACATGATCAGTTGGAGGGCTACTTAACAACGACAGGTTTTTAGATTATGATGGCTCGCCCACAACGCTAGGGGCCAATGCTTGATTTATGACAAAGCGTAATGGAGTCACTTAGGTGGCCGTCTAAGACAGGTGTTATTGCTTTGTGTGATAGGGGTTGTGTGTTGAAATATGGTGGCCGCGGCCGCGTTGGACAGGTGCCCGTTTTACACAGTTAAATTATATAGAAAAAACGCAAGGGGGGAAATGGAAACTGTCCGTTTGTACAGGTGACCGTCTTATAGAGGTGGCCGTCAGGACAGGTTTGACTGTACTTCTACAGTTCTTTCTAACCGTGAAATCATTCTGTTTTGACAGAATGAAACAAAATGTTTCAGATGATCTTTATTGAATTTGTAAAATCGTTTGTTGAAATAAAGAAATTTACTTCAAAGAGACGTGATTTTTTAAGATTAAAAATGAGAGTTTTGTTTATCTTAACTCTTCTTTCTTCCTGTTGCTATGGTTGAAACTTTGTCTTGTTGTCGCACCTGGTTTACCTCTCTCCGGCACCTATTTATTTCCAAATTGTTTCATTGATTGCAGCTATTTCTGAAAGTTGGAAAGGAAATATTAAAGTTTTGCTATATGGCTAGGTTTTAATGATGGCAGACAGGGAATTCTATTGAAGTATGAAACTTTCAGTTTAAACTTTTGGGTTCGATCCTTTACTGGGACAGATATGGGGTTGTATTTTTTCTCATAAAAATGTCAATGAGTACATGGCAATCAGCTGAGACAGAGCTATGCTAAATGCCCCCTTGCAGGAGTTAATTGGTGACTAGGAATATACATGCCATTTATGGGGGTAGAAAATATTGAGAAGTTGTGTGAGCCTTTCATTGGAAGAGATACAGGACTATAAGTGAACTATGACCAAGTCCTTTGATTTCTCTTTAATTTGAATCAAGAACTGAAGTCAGGAAAAAGGAGAGCCAATGACAGTTGTTAGAGCCATTTTATTGTTTCTCTGGATTTATTGTACTGCCTAAAGGGAAAAAAGTCAAAGTACTTGTTTATCCACGTGTACCTCATCTATGGTTGCCATGTGCCTACTCTGAAACATGGGGGCAGGGTGGTGTCACAGTCTCAAAATGAGCAATCTGTGGGCTAAGTCACTGTAAATCATCTATTGCAGTGATCTAATGTATGCGTCCAAAAATTATTGGGGGGGGGG